GGAGACGCGCCACCATCATTGTGACACTGTGATGACAAACGTTCCCGAGACCGTGCGATCATACGTGTTCGTTTTTTCAGTGGCGCGCCACCGTCAGCTGGCGGCCAGCGCGGCGGTGGCTCGGACTCCGGTGCCGGGCACTCCCCTAGGTCGCGGCGCGCCCCAGCCAGGTCGGTGTTCTGAATTAACTATATACTTCTTAGATTGACTGTTTTAACCCTGGTGCTAGGCTGCTGTTGTAGTAAGATGATATACCTACGGCGCGTTTGCTACGAGTTTTACAGCACACAATGTCAATGTCGACCTGCGGTCGGCCGCTGACCGTTTCTTATTGCTGATGGCCGGACAAGCACCAGTAATCACTCGGTATCCTACAGCGTCTTTGCCACGTCTCACTGACCGCTAGTCGGTAATCTCTGAGTGTGCTGGCGGCGTGCGGGCGCCGCTGTGGCCGGTGCGGTGCCGGTGTCGGGTGGACGGCGAGTGACAGCGCTCTGGTCGGCAGGTGCCGGACGGTACGCGCCCGTCGGCGGCCTGGTGGCACAGTCGCCGCTGTCGGGCGTCCCGGGCCGCGCGCTGCAGCCTCAGATGGGCGGTGAGTCGCTCCGGCAGGCCCCGGGAGACCCGCGAGACCCGCGGGATAGCCCAGCTGGGCATCGGCGAACGATAGTCTGCCTTGTCCATGGCGTCTTTTTAGTGACGAGATGTTGCATTATTAAACTAGTAATTGTTTGGAGAGAACTCTGATATCCGACCAGTTATGTAAATCTCGCCAATTAACTTTTTATTTTGTCAGTTATTGATAGTGCCGTCAACTGGTGGGATGCTGTATATCTATTTATCACAAACTACATTCGGTCACACCATATCCCACGACCGGCCGCCGGCCTGACCCGCGTGTCTGTGCGCCGCAGGGCCGCGAGCGGGGCCGCCGCTGCCGCGGCCGGTGCTGCCCCGCGAGCGCGGCATCATGGACCGCATGCTCGACTACCTGGTGGGCGACGGGCCGGCCAACCGGTACGCGCTCATCTGCTGCCAGTGCCAGAGCCACAACGGCATGGCGCTCAAGGAGGAGTTCGAGTACCTCGGTGAGTGGCCTCGCCACGCCCCACTCGCCCGGTAGGAGTCGGAGCTCCCGGGGTTCTCGGTTCTGGTGCTCTCAGATCCCCTCATAAACGCGTAGCTTTTTGGTATATGTGCGCCTCCCCATCCCGTCTTTAACCTTCAGAAAGGAGCTGCTGTCGCTAGTTGGTCCCACAAAGACACTTGTTATTAATTTCGGCATTACTTCTTTACCAAATTTAATCATTTCGTTTGGTATTGCGAGTTCTCAAGGTCTGATAGTTTTGTAGGTATTTCCCCTAAAAGCAATAAACTAGCATTGTGACTTATTCCCTAGACCAACGGAATATTTCGTACTTTTTTAGTTTTAAGGAGTTTGTACATCTGCTGCTTGCACGTCTCTAAGTAAAACAAAGTTTGCGCATTCGCTTTAAATTTAAAGTCGTGGACCAGACCTGCCGTTTCCATCGACCTGGCGTGCGTTTGGCTCACTGTGCCCCGACCATGTCTGCCTGTCCGCAGCGTTCCGATGCAGCTACTGTTTCGCGTGGAACCCCGCCCGCAAGCAGCGGCCGTCGGCGCCCCGGCTGCCGGCAGCGCCCACGTCTGGCGAGAGCATGGTGGAGTCTGACACAACCGGTGAGCGCATGGTGGAGTCTGACACAACCGGTGAGCGCATGGTGGAGTCTGACATAACTGGTGAGCGCATGGTGGAGTCTGACATAACATAGTGGAGTCTGACACGCGACCGGTGAGACTCTACGGCCGGTGAGAGCATAGTGGAGTCTGACACGACCGGTGAGAGCGAGTCTAGTACGACTGATAAGAGCGAGTGACATGCCCGATGAAAGCGCCCCATCTACCGCCCCGCTACCTTTTTTCCTTATCACCGCCCTATCGTCGCATCACCGCCCTAACCCCTTTCCATCGCCCTAGGCTGGTACCTTTTGATTTCCTGACATTCGGCTGGAAACTGTTGTATCACCATAATTCTGCTCATGATCATTTCCATGGGATGAATAGCCTTGGTGCGAGACCAATGATTGTGCTAGAAGAATAACTGTCAGTACTTGGTGTGTGTGTGTGTGAACATACTTGCATGCGTGCGGTGTGGAATATGAATATGTGGAATATTGGTGTGTGAAAGATACGATTTCTGTGCTCGTAGTTATTTTATTTTATTTTGCCGTGTTCTCTAGTGTGTCGTGTTTTCCTTCTGCAGAGACGAGTGAGAGCGAGACTGAGGGTGAACGGACTAGCGATCGGCCGACCTCCGAGGCGGAGCAGCCGGCCGGCCGGGCGGACGAATCCTCTGCGGCACCGGCGGAGCGTGTCGCGGAACGGACGGAGCGGGCCGCTGCGGGCTCCGACCCACCGGACGGGGCGGAGGGACCGCCGGCGGACAGACTGGCAGAGGCCGCGGCACACCGGCCGGGGCCCGAGTCGGCGCCGGCGGAGGAGCCGCACACACAGCCGGCAGAGTCCCAGGGTCCGGAGTGCCAGGATCCGGCGGCGGAGTCTGAAGGGCAGTCAGGTCCGTCTGTGCCAACGGAGGCGGCCGCGCCCGTGCCTCCGTCGGATTCGACCGCGGACGAGCCGTCTTCGTCCAGTCAACGAGCTGATGATCAAACACAAGGTACCGTCAGGGCATCCGGAACGCAGGGCAAGAGACCGAACGCTGTTCACAGGTGGACTATTGCGGGGGAAAATTAGCACAACCACACTTAAGGCCGCCCCACACTGGACCTCGCATGCGGGTTGCGAGTTTTTTAGTTTTCGGGAGGCTTGCGGGTGCCTCCCGGATGGGTCCGCCTTCACGCGGTGGGAGGTGTGGGCCTCGAGCCCGCCCCCGCTTGGGCGACCAGCGGGGGAATCCAAACGGACCCAAACTGCCCTCTACGAGAGGGTCCTGCTGGCGGCTCCCCGTCGCCTGGCGCCGCTCCGCGCCCCTTCTTCTCTACTCTACTATCAACCCCGACCTAGAAGAGGTGCGGAGCGGCGCCGTCGTGGCGGCCCTGGGGCCGCCCACAGGTCCCTACAGAGCCGGACGGCTACTTCTCAGCTGTGAGACGGAGGGACGCACAACAACAACAGGCTTGCGGGTTTTTCGTTGGAGTCGAATTTTGGTTCGCTGCGATAGCATTGCGACTATATGCAATTTTATGAAGGTGTACCGGCTTCACTGCATTCATGATGTTACCATAAGGGAACGGTCTAATCACTCTATGAATTAGTATTATGCCCGCAAACTTAAAACCCGCAAACTCGCAACCCGCATGCGAGGTCCAGTGTGGGGCGGCCATTAGATCTGCTGCTTAGCTAGAAGTCTCACATTGATGATCGATAGTAACGTAAAACAAAAGCGTTTGATTACATTCATGGCAGAAGGCACTGATGTTTTTATTCTTTCTTGCTCTTCATCACATACTTCTCTTTAAACAGAAAAAAATGTGCGATTTTTAACTAATTAATGGAATGTTTGTTTTTGTTTTCATTTAATAGTACGCACGTCGCACACCAGGCTGCGTACGGCGGCAGCGGTGCGCGGTTGTTCACAGCGGAGCCGTTCTGTCCGGCAGGGTCAGAGGAGGCGGCGGCCCTGGGCGCTGGCGTGGCGGACGTGCCGTTTGCGGACGACTGCGGATCGGACCCCTGAGCGGCCATGGAGCGGTCGGACGGCCGTCAACTCACCCCCGGCCATTGGAGCTCAGGTCGACAGTGCGGTGCCTTAGCGTTGTGTGGTGTGCGCCCCCCTACCGGGACCCCGGGCGGGCCCTTTTGGCTGTGTCGCCGTGAGTGGACGTAGTGTCTTCCCTGGGAGCTGCTGATAGTAGCAGGGTGTGTGGATCGCTCACCCTGCCTCCCCCCACTGCCTGTGCCCCCCCCCCCCGGTCCTGGGGAAGCCGCTGTGGTGCGTCACCGGGCGCTGCCGGTGATTGTGGTTCGGTGCTGCGCTGGGACGCGCTCTCTGGTGGAAATCTCGGCCAGGCTCTCTGCCACCCGAGCGTCTGGGCTATGGTCGCGACTGGTGTACCTCTCCAAGAGGCTTGTTTGGTTATACGGGGCTGGTGTTGAGAGCAACCTTAATGCGCTGAAATATATGGGCTCGGGTGAGACGTTGGACAGGTGCGGTGGTGGCGACGCTTTCGAGCCGTACCTCGCTCGTTTTTTCTAACCTGTGACTACATAGTCAGAGTGCGAGCTGCCTGGAACGTGCGTTATTCTTTTGTAGACGAGTGTTAAATTATATGTACTGGAAAGTGTTACTAATATATGCATAATTTATTCAGCTGCTTGTTTACACAGTGTCAATTTGCAGTGTGTGACACCGACTGGAACAGATTGATGAGATCCTGTCTCTCGTATCACTGCCTGCTAGTAAGGGAAAGGTGGCCACTGGGTTTCACCCGAGAACGTTTTCATGATAAAGGTAACCGAGGCTTTGTACTGTGTACTGTGGCGACGAAACTAAGCTCTCCCCGCCCAGTGGCTCGGATATCCGTCTTCTGAAATCTGAGGCGACCCGTGATATGAGCTCGATTCGAGCCTTTCTTTTTGTCTCGTTTATCGGATGCTTTTGGGATGGTCTGCAAGTCAGTGGTAGGTACTCATCGGATCAGTAGCAGTGCCTCGATAAATATTGTGAGTGGGACGGTGTCTGTTTCAATGTCAACACTGGGACGGTCGCTGTGTCATTGTCAACACTGTCGAATTGAGCAAGTCCGTGAGCAAGTAGTCATTTCGATATGGGTGACGTAAACACGGACGAAAATTCGTATGCATAAAAATAACGAACGGAAGACACGAGACGGCACCGTAGATGTATTAGTAAAGTAATATTGCGTAGATGGAGCATGGTGGCTAATGGGAAGTATTGGGAATATGGGGTCCGCAACAAAAGACAAACGCAACGCTTTTGTTTACATCCGAAAAGACTTGCCGGCTCGCCGCCAAATTTGAAATCCTTGATTCCCGCCTTTTCGTTGGTCGCGTGTGTGGCATGCAATTTTATTTAGGGAACTTGCAATTATACCGTACTTACAATTACTGACCTTTCATTTTCAATGCAGTTTGCGATCATACAGTGTGAGGCATCTTTTGAGCAAAAATGTCCAACGTACGAGACAGTGACACATCACTGTGGCTTTACAACAAGCTGGGGACGTCAAATGAAACTTGGATTGGCGGGTCCATCTGTTCTCAATTAAATGCAACTGTATTGCGAAACATTCAGGAATGTTTCATGGAGCTCCAGACTCAGGTGAAGCTGAAACTGCTGCTGACATTTTTACATATCCCACGAAAACACATCGAAGAGGTAAGTTGCACCGTTATGTGGCTGGCATTTGTTGTACGTTTTTTTTTTTTTTTTTGTTATCACTTATCAGGCTAGCATGACAACTACCGAATATGGTTAGCATGTGAGTAAGCCTTTTGTAGGACTTTGACAAAAGTTATGTAAAGTTACACTTGCTTATGGTCATAAAGAGGGCTTCTAAATCTCAGGCTCCTGAAAACCTTGTCTGCCGAGTCCCAACTGACCCCAACCATCCGCGACTATGCACCATTGGAACGCGAAAGTGCTGATTAAAATGTCGGCGATGTCCCACGGAGGTAACTGAAATTCATTGGTAGGCCTGTTAATGCTTTATATAAAGATGCCAAAGCCATTCTCCGAATGCAACGCCATAGCGATAATATTGAAAAGTGCCAGAATTATTGGTAAGGCTCGGGCCTACAAGCCTAAAGACACCTATGCGACGTCCCTCGCTGTCCCTTTCAGTGGCGCCCGGAGATGGAGGGGGTGCTGGCGACTGCCGTCCGTGACTCGGATCAATGGGTCTCCATGTTGGCGGAAATGCTGCAAACCTTCCCAGCCACGGGAAGTTTGAACACGGACATCGGACAGGTGGAAGAAAATAAAAACATCTTCCGGGATCTCGTCGCCGACCTAAAAGAGCTATGTCAGTGTCGGTTGTCAGTTGTCAGACTCTGCAGAGTCTACCGTTTCCCACATAATTGAAGCGAAAACAAAGTAGTATGCGGCGGGCTTTGCTTCAATATGCTATGCTAATAGTTGAGTTTTGTGAACAATATAAACACTTACCTAACAGTGACATAATGCCCCTGGCAGTTGGCAATATCACGTCCGTGGTTCGTCGTCGTCATGCTCGCTCTATTTCTTACCGCCTTGTTTTCCTTCTCCCAGTGAACGGAGACCTGGACCTGAACCTTCTTCCACTGGAGCACCACTATTTAAACAAGACGGCGTTCAGCGAGGTCGTGAGTACCAATTAACACTTAACAGTCATTGACAACTTATCAGGGCTCAGCCATCTATCAAAAAGGACTAGCGTTATCCATGGTGCGTCCCGTCCATGATTATTCCGTCCGTTCGTGACCGGTCTCTCGCCCGTGACCGTCCTGCCAGACCCATGCCGTGGTATCGTTCTGTCGGGAGCCGCCCCGCTCCGTGGCATCTGTTTCGGCCGTGATACCTATCCCGTCCCGTGAACCGTCACCCGTTCCACGATACCGTCCCATCCCGTCCCGTCCGTAACCCGTCCCACTCCTCCGTCCCCGTCCCCTGCCGTGTCCCCAGGCGCCGGAGCGCCACTTCCAGCTGCGCCGCCAGCCGCGGGCAGTCGCGCTCCGCGCCGACCTGCTGCGCCGGGCAGACGAGGCGGCGGCGCAGCTGGCGCGCCACGCCGCCGCCGCCGCCGCCGTACCGGTCCGCTCGCGCTCGGCGCCGCGCCGACCCGACACCGCCGGTCAGTGGACGTCGTCACGCAGTCCTTACACTGCCAATGGAGCGTCACAGACGCGACGGGGCATCACAACCCACGAGCGTGCCTGAGTTGAGCCGAAACGGGCTGTGAGATGGCGGTGGCGCTTACTTATATAACTGCCACTAGATGGCAGCAGCAGTTAACGCCTGAATATATGCTGTGCCGCATTGCTCGTAGTAGAGACGGCAGCCCAGCGGTTATGCGGGGCCGCATACAGGACTGCTTACTTTAGAACGATGTGTTTCTACAACAAAGATTCGTGCCAATGCTGACCCGGTTGAAACTGTGTAGTGTGTACTATTTTTTATAGCACTGGCCCGACATGAGCCGTGTCCGCCTGCCGGCAGGGCTGCTGCGGACGCCGTCCCGACTGCCGCTCGGCGACGGCGAGGGACGCCGCTCGCTGCCCTCGCTCGGGCTTCTACCGCACCAGACTCGAACGGTCAAACTGCTGGACATCTCCGAACAGCCGGCCTCGCACGGAAAGCGCCGCAGGAAGGCCTCAGGTGGGGAGAGCCGCCCGGCACCAGGCGCAGTCACCACAAGGGGGGGGGGGGACGCGAACAAACTGAGATCTGAGGGTGTGCAATGCAGGCGATATTGATGGGTTTTTCGGTGATCATGTGGTCGATATGTAACTAATCACGAAGTGATAAGTGTTTTTGATGAAGGAAAATGTTCTAGATCATCTGAACTTCGGGAACTTGTCTAGCACAGCTGTCAGAATATTCTGACTAGACATTCGCCGACTCCCCAACTGACAGCCAGTCCCATTGACACATTTTGTCCCCGTCCCAGCTGAGAGTGGGACGTCCTCACGCGGCGGCGGGCCGGAGGAAGGGGAAGCTGCCCAGGAGGAGACAGTCGCGCCCACACCAGACTACGCCGCCGGTTTGCAGTGCACGCCGACTCCGGCTCCGGCCGCTACGGTCCCAGCCCCGGCGGCGCGCGGCCCGGTTACAGGTCAGTCCAGACTCCAAAGCCCGCCTTTACGGATCCGGCTCGGCTGCGGGAGCCCATGAGGTGTCACTGACTGTCGGTGGCCATGTGTCGGTTATGTGTCGCCAGGACTATCCAGCTACAAATCACATGTATCAGTGACTGGCGCCAGAACTATCCATCTATCAGTGACTGTCGCCATCTCCGTCAGTAATGTGTTACTGTCCGTTTATCATCGGCGTGTCGCCAGAGCTGTCCCTCTGCTAACCCCGTATCACCAGATAGTAGATACAAATGATTCGTGACCTACTGCCGTCTCCAGGGGTGGCGAGGCCGCCCTGTGTGGACCCACAGCCTGCCGCGGTCTCCACACTCGGACCCAGCGTCAGCGCGGCCCCGTACCGTCCCGGCCCGTCCATGTACGCTCCGCAGCCGCCGGCGCAGCGGCCGGCCCGTCCTGCCGCGGGGTGTCCCGGCTCACATCTGGAGCAGGTCAGTTCGCCAGTGATCGGGTCCCGTCCGGGAAAAAGCTGGCCGCGTATCATAGAGCTGTCTGTGGAGAGTGGCTCGCTGTTGTCTGAAAGGCAGCATTCTTTGGTTCGCCGCGGTTGTTTGGAAGGCTGGTGGCTCGCTGTTGTCTGGAAGGCAGTTAGCCTGGTGTCTGCTGGGGAACACCTGGTGACTCAGCGCTGTCTGGGAGTCACCCCGGTGCTGTTTGGGGAGGAAGGGTAGCTCGACCTCGTCTCCACCCGCGGATCCCGCTGGACCAGCCGCGTCTGTCCTCAGCTGCTGTTTCGGCGGGTGATGGGCGCTGACACGGGTCACGCGCCGCAGCCAGTGGCGCCTCCGCCGCCGCCGCCGCCGTGTGCGCCCCAGCCGCCGCCGGCGGCAAATGAGGTGAGCGGACCGCCATCGCCGGTCTGGTGGGAGTCGATCGCGAATCCTAGCCACCAATAAATCGCCGGGGTCTTATGAGCCTCGATGTTCTTTGTCGCATTCTTCCTATAGCGCATATTACATACGCTTTCACCGTCAAAGGCGCTCCATAGACATGTTCTTAATTTTGGTCGTGGATGCGTTAAACATTATCATTTGGAAGCAGGACCAATGCTAGAAAACATGCAGCTCCAACGTGTGAGGAAAAGAAAGTTGGCATCTACGAAATAAGCCGAACTAGAAGACCCATGTCAGTGCCGAACCCTCCCTCCCTCAACCAGTCACGATGAACGGGGTACTGCTAACTGAAGACACTCATATTTGACTGTTAGTCGTTTGCATGCTCTGAAATGATTAGCCATATTAACTGTCTTGTATGCCTTGCAATCAATCACCATGCTTCTGGCCGTCTCCCCGCCCCAAATCCCCTTCACTCACCGCCGTCAGTCGGAGCTGCACGGTTCGGGGGCCGGTCAGCAGGCGGCCGCCGCCGCCCGGCCGCCGCTGACGCTGACCCGGGAGCAGATGCTCGAGGCGCAGGAGATGTTCAGCACGGCCAACACGGCCACCCGGCCGGAGAAGGCGCTCATCCTGGGCTTCATCGCCGGCTCCAGGGGTGAGCGGCGTCCGGCGCCGGTACCGAGCGACCCGAGAGACGGGTCGTGAGCGCCGTCCGTCGGCGGGGGTAATCTGAGCTGGCCTGCCGGAGGGGGAGGGGGCAGGGCGGGGAGAGCGCGTCGAGCCTGATCTTATCGTCGCGGCAGGGCGTTATGATATGTATGTGGCGGGGGGGGGGGGGGGGGGGGGGGAGAGAGAGATTGAATGAGATTACGTGCAGCCGGTGGTGTGTCGTTCCTGTCGAGTGTCCAATGTTGCAGACATTTTCTTGACACTTTGACCTGGCAATAACGATTGTTCGATATACCGCACGCTTCCAGTTTTCAAAGCTCGTCTCATATCAATTGGGCTCATAAATGAAGTGTGTTTGCAATTATTGAATGAGACTGACATAGAAACTTCACCCTGCTGCAGTCTGAAAGAATACCAAATTACCGTCTCAAACTGAGCAACTGACGCTGCGTTATCACGCTGTCGCTGCCAGAGAACCCGTGTCCGCACCTGGGAGACGTGGTCACCATCAAACTGTCCGAGTCGGTCGAGCGGCTGGCGGTCGCCGACGCCGGCCAGAGCGCCGCCGTCCTGGCCGAGACACACTTCCAGATGAACTACGTCACCGGCGAGTGGAAGCGCATCAAAAAGTTCCGCCGCCTGGCCAGCTGAGCGGTGTGACCGGATCGGGGCCGCGGTCGGCAGAGCCGAGCGCCGGGGCGCGCGGCACGCCGCCGTCAGCGAGGACCGAACCCTTTCCACTTTCCGAGTGTTGCTGTCGCTTGCTCCATTTGATTTTAGCCTGCGACCGCTTTGCGTATGACTCGGCGATGTTACATTTGTTCAACGACTACTGGTCATAAACATAGATGATTCAACAAGCGCTGTTATTATTCTGTTTTAGGACGCAAAGGGAGCTATTTTGAGACTAGCATATGAATGTAATTTATATCGCATTGAGGTGAATCACGTCAAAACCGTGATATGAATTTGGCTAGCGAGCACGCAGCTGTAAGTTAAAAACGAAGTGTCATCCTTCTATCCTAAAACGCCCACATTCCCCTCGCCACAAACATATACGCTACACACCGAGCAGATGCGCCGCGAAAATCGAATCATTTATTTCTCTGCTTGAGGAAGTGTGCAACTCAAGATACAACTTAGAACCATCAGCGCAGTAGTAAACGGTTCAAGTAACACCACCGGTGGGCGGTCTGTTAATTACACAATCAAGAGCGCAGACGGAACACGTTAGGCTCGTTACCGAGTGTTGAATATGCACATAATCATAATCAAAAAACAATTTGTCGGCAGGTTGCACTACAGTTTCTACCCGAATAGTCGCAGTGAGTACAGCCGACAGCGCCGACGGAAGATGAAAACGAGCCGCCTGCTGCGAACTGATCCAAAAAGTTGGCTGCACCAATCAGCGCAGAGCGCCCAACTCACCAGATTCGGCGGCGAGGACGTACCTCTGTCCAGCTGACGAGGCAGCGTCGTGGGCCACGGGACGGCCACCGCCGCACCATCAATACCACCGTCGTATAATCTCAGAATTCTCATAAAATTCGCACACTGTCAATAATCGGTAATCGGAGGACGAAACCTATCATTAAAATCACCTGCTCAAGGACTGACATAAGAAGAAACGAATCATCAGTCGCACACACTCGCAATGACTCGGCGCACGTGTCCACTGTTCACTCACTGTCCGGCGGCGTCACCTCGAGTCCCGCACAGCCGCCCGTCGCCTCTGCGCGGCCTAGACGAACACCTTGGCGAGCGCGTCGGCGCCGCCGGACGCAATGTACGGCTTGGTCGGGTGGAAGCCGACACAGTGGATGCTCTCGTCGCTCTTTTTGCGGTGCGCGGTGATCTCCTGGACGCACTGTTTGGTCTCCAGGTTCCAGAGGCGCACGCTGCAGTCGTGGCTGCCAGAGAGCAGGTAGAGCCCGTTGGGGTCGACGGCCAGGCTGGTGACGGCGTCCTGGTGCGCCACCATCGCCTGCACCACCTTGCCGGTGACGTTATCGTAGAATCGTATGTGGCGGTCCTCATGGGCGGCCACCGTCACCGGCATGGTGGGGTGCGAGACGACGCAGTTGAGCTGGTCGCGCGCCGCGCCGCCCTCCACGTTCTGGTTGGACTCGAGCTGCACCACCACCTTGGAGGTCTCCAGGTCGTAGACGGCGCAGCGGCCGCTGGTGTAGGCCACCACCATGTGGCTGCAGTCCTCGTGCACAAAGTCCACCGAGCTGGGCACGCCCATGGCCGGCTCGGCGGCGTACGACTGCAGCAGTGGCGCCTTGCTGCCGGGACTCCACAGCTTCACGGTGCCGTCGGCCGAGCACGAGAGCAGCTGCGGCTTCTGCGTGTGGAACGCCAGGCCCCAGACGGCGTCCGTGTGGCCACTCAGCGTGAGACTGAGCACGTCCGGGTCGTACGCGTCGTACGGGTCGATGTTGGAGTTGGGCACGTTCCAGACGCGCACAGTGCCGTCCACGCCGCCCGAGTAGCACTGCTCGCCGGTCGGGTTCATGCTGACACACAGCACGGCGCCCACGTGGCCGCGGAATGTGTAGATCGGCTCCACGTCCAGAAACGCCGACTTCTTGGCAGGAATAGTGCGCTTCAGGTTCCACAGCTTCATCGTGTGATCCTCACTGGCTGTGACCAGCACTGGCTCAATGGGATGGAAGGCCAATGCCCTGATCCCATCAAAGTGGGATCTCAGCGTGTACTTTGCATTCCACATCTTTGAGTATGACTCCTTGCTTGCGACTGCATCATCATACATACCCTCTGCATCATTGGAGACAGTCAGCTGGGCAAGTTCTCCCAGGCCCATTTGTTCAAGAGTTTCATCATTCACACCAACACCATACTGTCCAGCACTTTGCCTGGCCTGTGGCTGCTGGCGTTCTGAATCCACCATTCTCACACCACTGTCTTCCCAAGGGTTCACTATGTTGCCAATGTTCCCAAAGTTGAACTCTAGGGACTTCAAAGCCATCACCATACTTGATGCATCAGACTCATCATCACCTGCACTCTTCTCCTCTTTTACAGTGTTGATCTCTTCACTTTTCCAGTCATCATCATCATCATCTCCATCATCCACTTCAACACCATCATTCAAGAAGTCAAAGTTTTCTAAAACAGCCTGCTCTGCTTCCCTCAGCATGTCCTCAGATAAAAGCCCTGCTCTGCTCTGTGCTCCTGCTTTTGACTGTCCCTCTCCTTTGGCAATCACTGGCTCACTGTTCACAAGTGGTGGGCTACCATTTTTGTTCTCTTTCAGTCCTAGCAGGGATCTCACCCTATTTGATCTCACATCAATCACAGTGTCTGTGTAGCCAATCTCATGTAAGTACTGCCTTAGAAGCTGTCGACCTTGACGCCAGGAAATATTGCTGTTTGCTGTGATCATTTGATCGCCCTCCATGATGTCTTCTTGACTGCCCTCATCAAACACTGGAGGCTTCAGGTCACCTTGTGAGAGCTCAGCACCATATTTGAGCTTGTGATACCTAGCCCGTTCCTGTTTCAAGGCGTGCTCCAGCATTTTTATCCTCCTCACCAAGTCGTTCTTGAGATTTTCTTGTCCCTTTCTTTCTCCTTGTAGAAAAGCAATTTTTGCCTCCAGCTCTGCTCTCTCAACATCCCACTTGGATCTCTCCAGCTCAAACTTTGCCCACTCATGTTGGATGTAGTGCAAGATCCCGGGTATTGAATATGCATTCCTGGGGTTGTCATCTTGCTTTGAACCAACCGACATCCCTTCAGTCACTTGACCATTATGGTTTTGAACAGACATGTCAGCCTCACCAGCTGCAACTGTCATGACCAGTACTTACTGATCGCACCTCATTCAGCTAAGCTTGAGCTTGAAGCCCAGGTTGAAGTAGCCGGGCAGACGTGCATTCTCATTCCAATTCTCTGCGAACCGTCATTGTCCTTGGGCATCCAGACTATAACAGTTAAAAATCCACCAAAAATGACTTCATTAAGCACTCCTTCTTCCCAAAATCGACAGTTCGACCCATTCAGACAGGACAGACCCATTGCAATTGGGAGACAGACATCGCCCAACACACAAGCCCAAAACACAAACAATTGATAATAATTGACGCACAGCACCGTTGCTCGTCGCAGTTCTCATTCGCCATTTGTTTTGTCTAGAGATGTATAAGTACTTTTTCAAAAGTAATGAAACGGCATCAACAATACTTTGATTCTAAAAAATTAAATCTAGTTAATTTTTTGATAAAACGTTGATGTTTAGGTAATTTGTGCATTACTGAAAAGCTGGCTTAAAGGTGAAAAATAACTTCAAAGTACCTGCTTTAACTTTTACTGCAAAAAGTAAAAGCAATGCGGACATAAGACTGCATTAGGAACCAAAAATAAAAGCCTACTTAAATCATTTTTTATAGACACACGCATTACCCCTCATTTATTCTTTTTCATGCTTTGCCAACAATCTTGCAGATTCTAACAAATACCAGCAATAGCTATGCGTTGAAGTGTTAGCTTCCTTACAAACTACTTAGCTTGCTACTTAGATCCAAAAACAATTTATCAAGTAGATCCGCAAATTCAGCTTGTCCTTATTTTGTTACGATTCTCAAACCTCACATGTTTGTTCCTACTGCTTGCTGCATTGGAGTTCGAAGAAGATAAAACATGTCGAAGTGTAAAAATGCAGTATTTTAGTGGTACTCTTTTTCTACATTTCTGATGCACGGGACGTTTTCGACGCGTTAGGAAAACAAAAACCAAAAACAATAAAGTTGAAGCTTACTGTTACTGGCTTGTATGATGTAAACTGAGTGTCTGATAATTTTGACTGTTGGCCGCAACAGTAACACAGTGTATATAAATGGCCGCAATTTTTGTATTTAATTTCCTATGGAGGATTTGCATAGTTACGTTAATGATACAATGACAATGGGTAATAGTAATCCGTGCGTGGTTTAGGTATTCCTTTTTCAATTTTCTTATGAGTGATGGCATATTTAGCTACATTTATTACTAAGCTGGAGTTGGTCATGTGATGAAATGAATACTGTATGAGGTAGGGACAGTTATACCGATTCTAACAATATCAAATGACGAATTGAAGAGTGAAGACTGAAACAAGACTGTGTGAGAAAATATCGCTTCGGTCTCCTAGCTGAGCGGCGGAACTGTGTGGAATTGTGTGTACTGATCAGCCTTGCAGATTAGATGCACCGACCACTCGTTACCTTCAGCCGTGCGCCACGCCGGAGCGAGGAACCCGTCCCTGGCAGAGGATCAAAGGAAGACGAATGACAATGTGAAACCTGTTTGTGTGGTGGTGGATATGCGTAAAGGAGATTAGAAGCAGACAATAGCACAAAATAACGTAGTGTGGTGGTGGAACAATAGCGTAGGGATAGACGGGTGAAGGTTAGACCGAGATACGCGTGGGCTCGTAAACAGCGGGGGACTGGAGAACAATCGATAATGTATAGAATGTCATTATAAAAACGGGCGTGCAAGAGCTACTAACGACTGTTGGTGGGATATAAAAGAGCTCTCCTTCAAACCGGGGACACTCTCTCTGCAGTCCGAAACACTGTGCAGTGCTCCGACTCGGCGGTACGCTCCACCAGCAACCCCACAATGTAAGTCGTGAATTGCATTACCTTTGGTCGGCCGTGCCGACCAAAGGTGAGGTAATACCTCATCCCCACTAACGTTCTCTATTTACAGATACTGATTCCGGCGACAACAGGCCCAGGCTATTCACCGAGCTACCCTAGTATTCTTTACAGGTTTTACAGTTTCCCCTAGCACTTTCCACAGGTCCATAGTACGTACGAGGTGAACCGGGCCGATGAACTACACGGCGTTATCGTGTCCGTTTAACTTCTTCCTTTTACAGAGCGCAAGACTACGGCCTACGGATGGAGCCACCAACAAACACTCCCCCGATGCCAAGGCTCAGCTTTACCCGCCCCAAACCACCGAAAAGCTCGGTACATAATCGAGCGACCAATAAGCGCTCTACACTTTGGTGATTCTGCCATTTTGGTTTGGCACTGTTTCGGCATTCTGTTTCGATTACTTTTGGCACTGTTTTGGCAACTTGTTCGGCACTGTTTCGGCCCATTCCGTTCCGAATACTTGTTCGGCACTGTCTTGACACTGTTTCGGTCATTCTGTTTTCGGTAACCTTGTGCTTCGGCATATTGTTCGGTTATGTGTTTTTAGCACTCTATTTCGGCCACCTTTATTTACTACCACGGTAACATATACCGTGTATTCTCAAGCCTGAATCCGCCCTTTTTGGCAATGTTTACTTTTTGGCTTCTACGGACTCCAGGCATTGTTCAATCATTGACGTTTACCCTTTCGGCCTGTTTGAATATATTTTATCCCACTGTACGTGTCTTTGTGTGATGGTGTGATGAAGGGAATGGAGGGATATGATGTGACGAAGGGAGACAGGGCTTCGGAGGGGTCGGGCGGAGACCAGCGGGGCATGCGTACAACACGGTGTGCAGCAGAGTCGGTATCTACAAATCCCCTAGACGTAACTAAACACTTGAGGCAACAACTGGGTACACACAGGGACCACTTAAATCACACTGGGGGCTCTTGCGGTATTTTAAAATCTGTTCTGATCGAACAGAACCTTGTGCTGTGTACCCACCTTGTGATGTTGTGACGTGACTATTTGAGCCAGTGAAGTGATGTTGCTATCCGAAGTACGCCCAACCCCGCGACACGCTGATGATTCCCCGCTTATGTTTGCATGTTTGTATGTTTGTCCGACATACATATATCATCTTCAACCGATACCTGTATTTTAACAGGGTTTGTCACCATCCCATGTGCTAACAGTATACTGTCGTGTGTAATATTCCTAACGCTTGTTTAATTTATTCTACAATCAGTCAATTTTTGGTGGGTGATGGAGACAATTAGTTTTTGTGGAGTGCTGTTACATGTTATGATTCCGGCACTTCCTCCCCGACATGATACTAATGCGCAATATTTTGTTTAAAGGTCCGACGAGATCCGACGCAACTCGACCGAAATCTGCAACGACTACGACAAGACCGACGGGGACGGCTATGACTCAGACCCCGAGTCATATAAATTCGTCCGAGTCACTCCGCCACCTCCGTCACCAGATGATGAGGACTGGGACCAGGAGGCGGCGGAGTGGATGGCGACCCTATTAGCCGCTGTTAGTAAAACTGAAATGGAAAATAAAACTAATTAAAAATATTTTTCTTTGTGTTCTAAAGCGGGCTAACAGGGGCGACTAATCAAACCCGACCTGACACGACGATGAACAAAGAGTACCTAATAACGTAACTCAGGAAACGGACTGACTGACTGACGTGTAGCCATCTACTCAAGTATACACTATGTAACCTGCCGTGTGTGCGTTGTCCGACCGTATACGTTGAAGAGTAGGGCAAGGAATAGGTAGCCCACAGAAACCACACCGTCTGTTCACGAGGAACAGGATGGTCGTCGCAGCCTGGACGCGTGGGAGCTGGGGGGAACCGGTAGTTCGGGTATTGCCCCACCGTTCTACCGGACATACTCGCATAGCAGAGGGTGGTCCTCTGGGGGAACTATGCCCACCGAACATACACCGGCCGGGTATGGGTGGTATTCTCGGTCAGCTCACGTCTTAGGTTTAAGGGCCAGGCGTACAGTGGCAGGGACAATAGGTCACTTGTACCAGCGACAAAGTACCAATGCTAATGATGTTTCTTTCTAGCATGGTCAAATCGGATGATGAAGGACACGCAAAGGCGGGTGCAGCGGGAAACCCCTCCGCAACCGCACCGCCAGCACCGGAGGAAGAATACTACGAGTACGAGACGGCGGGTACAGGACATCCGGTTGCGAGTGCAGCTGGAAAGAACGCAATGGGCGGCATCGGAGGACGACCACCTCCTCCTCTTCCGCCGCTAGAGCCATCTGCTCCAGGTCAAGGTCAGTCCCGATCACAGTGGGAGACGGGGAATGAGACTAGAGGTCACCAATTTCATGCACTTAGAGATCCCGATGATCGGGGAACCGGTCATTCCGACGCTTTTATTCTGCGTCACCTGTTCTCATTCAAAGGGGAATATAACGGCAAAGCGATCAGTGATTGGCTTCAAAAAGTGGACCTCCTCAGAAAAATCACCAACATCCAGGACGAGGAACTGCTGCCGTTACTATTTCTACGAGTAGACACCAACGTCATCCCGTTCCTAGAAGGCTTGCGTGATAGACTAAGTCCGTCACAGTACACCTGGAACAGGGTGAAGCAGGCGCTCCTAGAACAATATGGGGGAGTGACCAACCCAACCACCCAGGTGAACAGACTACACTCTGCACGAATGGGACGAGACACTCCGGTTAGGAAGTTTGCATACGAAATTGAACGTTTGACTCGGCTGGCATACCCCGAGTTAGCCAGCGATGTCGGTTCCCCTGAACAGCGAGACACCCAGAAAAACATTCTGAACCGCATCGCCTTGGAACAATTTATATCAGGCCTACCACCCATGCTGAGTCGCCCTGTCGTGGAACGTCAGATCAGCGACTTCGAGGAAGCTGTCCGTGTCGCCGCTCACATGGAAGAGGTGAACGCCAGGTATTTCCGGAAGTCAACCATCAACGCCATGTTCAATGACTTAGGAGACCATTGTGACAACGCAGGTCAGGCATCTTATGACAGCAGCGACCGGAGCGACAACCACCAGCCCCGATTCCAGTCCGGCCGTGGTCGAGGAGGCGCTCGAAACCTAACACGAGGAGGCCGAGGACGGCGACCAGCCTACCAGACTCGTCGGAACCAGGAAGAGAACCAGCAGAATGGGCCCTTCCGAACCGATTTTCATGGACAAGCAGCTGGAAACCAGCCCAGGTACGAGTCAAAACCGAGATGTTATCGATGCAATAGTCCGAATCACCTGATTCGCCACTGCCCTCAGCCGCAATGTCCCTTCTGTAACGAGAACCACAGAGCTGAAGAGTGCACGAACATCGTGTGTGCGTGCTGCAAGCTACCTGGACACACGGCTAACCGCTGCTCAAAAAACTCGCAGGGCCGGAGTCCTCAGCCACCCACCAGTTAACAGTTTTATCCGCCCGTAGCCAGGAGGTATATGCGCTCATAGACAGCGGAGCGTCTCACTCGCTTCTCGACTTCGATGCGTACAAAACCCTCAGTGACAACCCCATCGTGACCTCAGATCTGTCATTGAAATCCGTCACCGGTCAAGCACTAGAGCTGATCGGATGTGGAGAAGTAACCTTCTCTCTCGCTCCTGGGCTAACGGTGACCCACTTGTTTCATATAGTCAGAAACCTCAGCCCATATGAAGCCATCTTAGGGCTAGACTTCTTGGCCGAGCCCAGACACCAGATTCATCATGATCTTTCCAACTTCTTGCTCCATGTCAGAGGGCACCCCGTCCGTCTGTTCGATTCACAGCAACAACAACCGTGCTCGCCCATCATACCTGTGGCAGCGGTAGGCAGACATCAGCATGTCAGCCCCCACTCGGTTACTTTTATCCGAGCACAGGTTAACCCCGACACGATTCAACGCATCGAATCGTCTCCTCAGGACTCCTGGGAGTTCCATCCGCACAACCAGAATGCGGACGAGCCAGTCAAGCCCCTGCGCTGCATCATTGAAGCCGACCGAATCGGCGAAGGACTCATGATCGGAATCGCCAACTACACCTCCCGGAGTTACAAGTTCCGGAATGACGAGCCGCTGGGATTCCTCACACAGGCTCAAGTCATACCATTCTCTGAGCTGCTGAGCCCCAGCACGGATGAAGCGCCTGGTGAAGAGACAGGCACAGCTTCACAGGACCACGCCGTCGTGACAGCGCATCTAGGACCTCCCATGCAACAGGTGAGACAGAGACAAGAGTGTCCCTCTAGAGCCAGCCCTTCAGGCGATACGAAGACACGGTCGTCTTTGGAACCATCGGATCACAAAGAATTTCTAGCAGCATTCAAGTACGGAGACCTGGACGATAACCACCTAGCCCAAGTCCAGAACCTCCTGGTGGAATTTCGAGACTGCTTCGCCCTCGATCACGATCCCTTGGGGTTGTGCACCAGGATCACGCATGACATCAAGACCCTGACGGACGAACCAGTCGTTTCTCAACCCTACAGGATTCCGAAATCTCAAGAACCTGAGGTCAGGAAGATCATTCAGGAAATGTTGGACAAGAAATTGATTCAAAAAAGTCATTCAGAATACAGCTCACCAGTGGTGCTGGTGGAGAAACCAGACAAAAGCCTCCGACTATGTGTCAACTATCAAAAGTTGAACGCCATCAGCAAGAAGCGGACGTTTCCTCTTCCCAATCCAGACGAACTCCTGGCCAAGGTAGGTGAAAACCACCCGAAGTGGTTCAGTTCGTCTGACTTGGCCGCCGCCTTCCATCAGGTGCCCATCAAGGAAAGCGATCGTCACAAGACCGCCTTTGTCCTACCATGGGACAAGCTCGAATTTCGAGTATTGAGCATGGGGCTCTCCGAGAGCCCATACACATTTGCACGACTTGGCATGGAAATCTTTGACGATATCCTGGCCGACGAAGGACTGGTTCTGTTCATTGACGACCTGTGCATGTACAGCCCAACGTTCGAGCATCATCTGGGAACGTGGCGACGAGTTCTTCAGCGGTTACGGGAGAACAACCTGAAACTCAAACCTTCAAAAACGCATCTGTTCTCAACGGAGGGTCTCAAGTTCTTAGGTCGACATATCGGACCAAGTGGAGTTGCTCCAAATCCTGCCAAGATTCGATCAATCAAGGAGTATCCCACCCCACAGAACGCGAAGGATGTGAGATCCTTTGTGGCATTGTGTTCTTACTTCAGGAAACATGTCCCCAATTTCGCGACAATTGCCACACCCCTTAACGCTCTCACGAGAAAAGGGATCCACTTCAACTGGACCCCTGAGTGTAACGCGGCATTTGAAGCTCTCAAAGATGCCCTGGTCAACTCCGATGTACTGGCATATCCCGATTTCTCCCCTAACCGTCCCTTCATCGTCGCTTCAGATGCAAGTGACAAAGGTGTGGGAGGATGGATCAGCCAGGAAACAGAAACAGGTGAGAGGCGTCCCATTGCCTTCTATTCACGTACGTTGAACAAGGCAGATAAAAATTACAGTACTATTGAGAAAGAAGCATTGGCCATCGTTTCTTGTATTCAGGCATTCCATTATTACATACATGGACGATCTTTTGTTCTGGAGAGTGACCATGCCCCTCTAAAATATGTGCTTAGTCATGCCCAAAAGGGAAGAGTCCAGAACACTCGCCTGGAGCGATGGAAATTAGCCTTACAAGGTCTGAACATGACAGTACATGTTCCTGGTCCAAAGAATGTCGTAGCTGACTCTCTTTCTCGCGGAGCGGTACAGGACGACTGGAAAGATCTCCAACGCGAGCTAACCTTCGATGACCCCGACATCGGCATTGGTATAGCCGCCCTGTTCTCGACAACTTCAGAAACAGAGGGCCAGACCTCGAAAGACGGGGACCAGGTCACGGCAGACGGTGTCGAACAGACCGCTGCCGCAACAGGACCTCGAACCACAACGAAAACCTCTGGTCGACCCACTGGAGCCCGCAGGAGGACTGGATCCGTCCTCTCGGAGACCTCACGCGTAGCAGCGCCTCCGACAACTTCCAGAATCACTCCACAGCGCGCAGCCTCTCCCGAGGCGGA